TACAATTTATAACCTATAGGGCATGTTGTGATCTGTGGGGGAAACCGGAGTACCCGGAGGAAACCCACGCATGCATGGGGAGAACACGCAACTCCACGCAGAAAGGCCGCAGCCGAGTTTCGAACCTGCAACCTTCGTGCTGCGAGGCAACAGTGCTAACATCTGTGCCACCATGCAGCCATTTGTTTAGATCAAATTAATTAAAGGAAGTAATTTTACAAAGAATGGCATTGGTCCAAATATAGAACCCAGAGGGACACCATCATAAATAATAAGTTAGGTTGCTTAAAGGGACAATTAGCAACCTTTTCATGTTTTTTCAGTCATTTCCTTGAGCCAGTATGTGCTAAAATCACCCTTTACAGGGTTAATGACAGGCCACCCAGCCCCTATCGCCCCTGTAGTCAGAGTATCGCACTTGCAACTTCACAGTTGCAGGTCTAGTCTGCTGGGACTTAGAAAAAAATAAGCTGACTTTCCTGATGCTGCTGTCTGGCTTCAGCACATTTCCTGCATGTTTTAGATCATGAACCCAGCAGATTTGTTTAATTTAGTGATGAATCACTCCTCTAGACACTTTGGAACGCTGGAAAACGTTTCGGCTGGTAGATTAAGGTGCTAAAAAGACTAACGCACAGCGAGGAGATAGTTTCGCTTCTACACACGGACACTAGGGGGTGCTAAAAGCAAGCAAATCTGCTTAGTATCCCTTTAATTTCTACTTGAAGACCATTGGAGATGGGCACCAACCCCTGAGCCGCTACTGAGGATTAGGGACTTAAGATAATGGCTGTGTCCAAATTCAGGGTTAGAACCCGGCAGATCCTGTCAACTACAGTTGGGTCCTTCCTTGATCACTAGAGTAAGCCACTCCCTTCCTCTCAGGAAGGGAGGGTTGGGGCTTCTCCGGCAGCAGTCTCCCTGGGGTCTCTGTCCTCCGGGGAGATCTCTGGATCCCTGGGGTTTGGAACTCCTGCTTCTTCCATGGATTTTTGGGGGCAGGTCTCAAATGTATGGACTTGGGCATTTTTGACACGTCACTTCAGGCTGTGGTTGGCACTAAATGCACTATGAATTATAACCGTGTGCTTTTTCAGCAAAAATTGCTGCCGTTATATATCCTCATGGTGCAATCCTTCAAATTCTAATAAATCAAGGACAGATTTAGGGATGCACTTTGAGTGTTTTTCGAGCACGGACAAACTTTTTGCTTCACTGTGACATAATCGGCCTTAAAATGCAGACTTGGAAGGATGCAGCCCCTGAATGTGGTCACATTCCAATGAATAAATGAATGAATTTTAGCTGAAAGTGATTTAGGGAATTCTTAACCCCTTCATCATTATTTAAAGTCTTAGATTAGATAATTAGTCTACACATAGCAGAAGGTGTATCAGAACAGCAGGTGTTGGAGATAAACCATGATACATACAGGTGTGGTTAAAGATTATCTGATCATGTAACACTGCTGCAACACTAGTGCTAAGATGCTGGTTTACACATTCCTCTGAGGTAAATCAGTACAAAACACCGAACACAACACAAAAAAATGGTGACATACTTGTCATATGATGGAAAACACGGACAGTTGGAGGCAAGAGAAGAGCACAGAACAGTGACTCAGAGGAAGATTTCAAAAGCAAACTTCTGCCAAGAGATCAAAGTTACGATTAATGGTTTCACTGCCTGTTTTCTGCAGGGGATGTGGGTGTCTGCCACACCTGTCTACAGCAGCTACAAAAGGATGAAAGAAGCTGGAGGTGCGACCAGACACACGTCAAACGGATCAAATCTGGAGTTTGAGCGGAAAGTTGGGCATTCTGATTACTTTTATACATGGGATATATACTTCTTACACAGATGATAAAAAAAATTCTTAATGAAGAAACTATTGTTGATATTTCACAGACATTATTTCTCCCTTTTCTACAATAAAAGTAAACCCTCTTAATCTGGCAATCCAAGGAATGTTTCGAGGAGTTTTTTAATTATTAGTGAGCCCTGGACCCCCCTGAGAGTTTCTGTATGATGACATGGTTTAGTAGCATTCAGGGTATGATGTCATCTCGGTTCACGGAAGGGTGCATGAACCATGAGGGCTTGCTCTCTACCGCCACTAAGTGGACACATGAGGCTCCTGCTGTTTTCAGAAACTAAGACCTGAAAGAACAGAAAAGAGGAAAGATGGACACACACACACACACACACACACACACACACACACACACACACACACACACACACACACACACACACACACACGAGGACTCTAGGGCAAGGTGTGTGAGGATCCATGAAATCACTACATCCATCTGACTCTGCTGTCGTTGGGTGGAATTCCAACAAAGGTGAGTCTGGATAAAAAGGGACAGCAGCTCAGTGCCAGGAGGGAATCACTGTGTCCAAGAGGCGAGACCTTTGACCTCCCCATCACATTTCATTCCCTACAAAATGATTTTCCATGTTTAGAAATTGCTTGTTTATTTTTTGCAAGCACTTTCCTTTCTCCCATATTTCTAGCTTTGATAAAAATAAACTCATTCAAATCAAAATTTCTGCTTAATTATGTGGGTTTTTTTTTTTTATTGTCAGCTAGGTAACCTTGACCGGGCCTTTTCACCAGACACGTATGGGTTGAGTGAACATCACACACAGCATTTATCTGCCATTACAGTGGATGTTTGCGTTTCCACCAACTGCTAAGCCGGGGGTCGGCAACCCGCGGCTCTGGAGCCGCATGCGGCTCTTCCATCCATCTGATGCGGCTCTCTGTGCTTGTAAAATAATGAATGGATATTTAAATAAAATGCTTTATACTTTACTGCATTAATTTTACATCTGTAAGCTAATTCTAAATGTAAAGATTGTCTGCGTAAACCTGAACAGGTCCAACCCGGTGTTCTGAGAAAACGTCCTACTTTGGCAAAACGTCCTACTCGTAGGATAATTTTACGGTGTTTTACATGACACAAACCCTAAACCTAACCCCAAAAATCAAGTATCAACGTCAATAAAAAGTACTAATACTTACAACTTACCCATTTTCCTGCAAATATGACAACGGAGTAGCATTCCCTTTTTGTGCTGTGCGCATGCGCGCACATGCTCAGGAACAACGGGTAGGACAGTTTACCGGGTTGGAGAAATTCCCAGAACACCGGTCTTACTGTGAGACCGGGTTGACGCGTCACACTTGTGCGTAATCATATAGGCGCTTCCTGGGCTGACGAGGATGTGAGATTCTGGGATTCTCCTCAGACGGCTCCTGGATGTGTCGCCACATTGGAGACAGGAACAAGCGCTATTCAGCCAAAGTTTCATAATCAGGGAACATTTTCTAAGTGACAAGTCTCTCTGAGAGACCGGGTTTGGAAAACTCTCGCTTCAGTCGGAGGAATCTTCCTGCATGCGCTCTGGTTCTGCAACGCGCTCCAAGCCAATCTCCACATCTTCAGCTTGCTGTGGACCTTATGTAGTTCACGCTGACAGCGAGCTGCGCTGAGCAGTGTCCAGCTCAGATGTTCAGATAGCAATCTTTTCTTGAGTGATTTAGCTACATCTGCGATGTGCGTAGAATAAAGTGTCAGTTCGTCTGCATGCGTCGGGGTAATTCTTTCTATTCTTTCTCCGTCAAAATAAACCTTCAAATACGGGAACTATCCGGTCAACACAAGCCCTGCTTTTAACTGTTCTGTTTTCTTGTGAAAATAGATCAAATTAAACTTGATTACCACCAGAGCCAGGCGCACTGCACCGTTATCTCCGTCGCTGTAAATGAGGGAAAAACAAAATGATCGGATCCTTTTCTGACCTTCCCCACCTACAAAGTTTAATTACAACAATCAAACGTGACAGAGCCTGGATTTGTATTCTGAACAGTCTAAACATGTTTTAAAAAGAAACGTATGACAAAAGTGGCACCTGCTCAGTAAAACCACCAACAGGGTGAAAAATATCTAAATATTGTAGCAGAGACGGGCTACAGCTTCTGGATCCACTTTATATAAATCGTTTTATTGATTATCTTCTTATGAAAGATAACTTTGAAGTACACGAGAGACCGGTACCGGCTGCAGTCACCTGTTGTGAGCAGAGCTCTGCTGTCTGAGGGTAGGCCCCGCCCACAACGCCGCGGCTGCCGTGGCTCCCAGTGTTTACTTTACTGTGGGAAACGGGTAATAATGGCTCTTTGATGGGAACAGGTTGCCGACCCCTGCGCTAAGCGTTACAATTTGGAAGCGTTGCTCACGCTTTAAATCTATTTTTTACTCGCTACCCTTCCAGATGGCTGGGGTCTTGTTTATATTAGTGTAATGGTTTCTGTTTGTAGTCCCTTCTGTTAAATACCCAATTATTTCAATGATTTGATTTTATTATCTTCAGGTCTATTTGGTCATTTATTTTAGGTATTGTAGTACTTTATAGTAAATGGAGTAGAGAGGAACCAGAGTTTCTTCCATATTTAAAAAAAAAAGAATGCAGTTACTTTTCCTAGTAATTAGTTCCTTTTATAATACTATAACTCAGTTACTAACTTAGCAAAATTATAGGGAAGTCGTTAGTAACTATAACTAATTCCTTTTTTAGTAACTGCCCAAAACTGGTCTTTGGAAAACATAAAATAAATCACAGACCTTTTTGGATACATGCTGCCGTCTCCTTGCCAGTTATTGTGTGAACTACCAAAATCACACGTGACCTTGCAGGACCAGCTGCATGTTCTGCGTCTGAAGTGCTGCTGGTGGGATGGGAGCTTGTGGGTGAGTCATGTCCAATACCTTATGTGCTGTAAGGGTGAGATTAAAACATCTTTTGCATAATCTCCAATTAACAAAATAACGTGTTGCATTATTTGGCAGCCTGACCAACTCAAGAACAATCACATGCTTTGAATTCCTCACATAGTTTTTACAGCTCATCTTCCATCAGCGAACATTTTAAACATTTCAGTGTGTTTTCCTGGAATAAAATAAAACGAGTAACAGAAACAACAAAAGAGACACATTCCACAGTTTTAATATAAATCTGTAAAAATGAGAAGTTTAATTGCAAACATGAAAATGGTTGAGTGATTTTATCATTTAGAAAAGCAAGAAAACAAAGGTTGGTGTATCTGACAAATGGAACAAAACTGCACCATAGCCACCATGAACCAAGATCCCACCGGTAAGCAAATCATCAGTGCACTGCAATAACGTTTGACCTGCAACTTCTTTTCCTTAGAAACAAAAACCTTTACAAAAAGCTGAATGCAACCCTGCTTTTCCAAACACAAAGACAATAATAACAAAACTAACAAATTAGACCAATAATCACAGCTTTAAGAATGAGTTTCCAAACCACAATCCTGACTAAAAAATTGCACTTCAAAATACTGGTCTGAGTGAATAAATAGTTGTGGTACTTTTCTCTATCTGTTTTGGTAATACAGTACATTAACACAGCAACAGTATGTTAGAGCTGTTTATGAGTAATCCATGTTCAATCCTGCCGCGTTTGCATATTGTACAGAATTTGCATATTAGCACATAAATAAATGAACAACAGAGAACATCAAACGAGGGTAAAAAAGATTTACAAAAACATACTGCATATCTAACATAGTGCCTATCTATATATTTATATATATAAATATTTATATTATTCATTAATTACATAACCGCATCATTCAGAAGCTCTAGTCTGTAGTTGTCAGACTCTAAACCAAAGAAAGGTTCTGCCCTTTCTGGTCTAGAGTCCCTTTGCACTGTCCCTTAAACCCCCCCTCCTATCAGAGGTGTGTCTGGGAGGAAGGAGGTGTTTTTTGGCCTTGGTTGGTGTTGATGTAAACATGCCTCTCAAGTGAATCTGGATGTCCAATGACTTTTCCATGAGTTGATGCTTGCTGGACGGAGACGCCTTCTCCTGCAGACGATTGTCCTGAAATCTCGGGTTCCTCCTGGTCTGTCTCATTTGGTGCATTTTGTTGGAGTGTCACAGAGAGCCTTCCTGTCGGACTGCTGGGGGACGTCGGGCCAGCTGTGAGTGCCGTCTGGCTGCACACCAGGCTGTACAGAGGGAGGGTGGACCTGGGCTGAATCATGTGAATCCCCCCGATGGGAATCAAGAGGCTTGGAGATCTGTTGGGCTGCTGCGAGTGCAGAGGGAGATGACTCAGGAGGTTGGTGGGTCCTCGGACCCGTGTGAGATGTGGGCTGATGTGGATCAGGCTGGCCTCACTCCCAGACTTCAACAACAAACACATGAAATCAGACTTCAGTGATTCTGATGAGAACACAGATGTTCCACATATGATTTTTAGATTATTCCACCAATGCAATCAGCCTCAAACCATAATTGAATCTTTTTTCTTATTTATTAAAAAGATAAATATTGACCTCATAGCTAAAATGAATTAAATTGGGTTTATATTTTTGTCCAAAAGAGTATGACTCAGCACTAAAGATTCCCTCAATTAAAAAACAAAGTTTGTCGGATAAGAAATATTCTGGATTGTAGCTTTATGGTAAATTAATAATCTGTATTTTATAGCGCCTTCTTATGGTTCTACCCAAGGTGCTTCACAACATAATCTTTCGCACGCTGGTGATGGTGAGCTACAATGTAGCCACAGCTGCCCTGGAAAACACTGACAGAGGTGAGCACGGCACCGGTCCCTCCGACCAGCACCAGCAGGCAAGGTGGGTTAAGTGTCTTGCCCAAGCCCCCACAATGCGGCTCAGAAATTGGTCTCAACCCAGAAGTACCAAAAATTGCAGTTCCACCCTCATCCACTAGGGGCTGGTGTCAGAAGCGAGCAAATCCTCATTGACTCCCATGTTAAAAATACCAATTTCACAGCAGAAATAAACATGTTTACAGCCTGGTACCAAAACATGTTTTTGGTTTAAATGATCTAGTTTACACTCATGACAACTCTGAGGGGGGTGATTTTTTTTCTCACTCTTCTGTTTAAGTGTATTAAAAGCCTAAAATTCTGTATAATTAATGAGCATCAGACCCACGTGACCACAGAGCTAGCTCCGTGGAAAGGCCTCAGTAGAGCCTCGGTCTGGCCTGGAAACTGTTCTGGGATTTTGAGTCTCTGTGTTTGTGTATTCTTGTTTGGATATTATTTGTGCAATTGTTGGACAAAATGACTTGCTGTGGCATTAATTGCACTAATAGAGCGTCCAAGGAGTCTCCACTTCATTTTTTTCAGTAAGTAAAATTATATTTATGTATTTTAGGTCACTGCTGAGCTGAGCTTAGATTTTAACATGTACTGTTTAACCATGAAATTTAAATGTAATAGGGTAAAACCCAGTGCATTTAACATAATGCTGCACTTTAGAAAATGGGTTGAAATATAACATGTTGGTGGAGCTGGGTTCCCACTATCGGCTTGTGGAGCTCTCGGGAGACCAATGTTTTCCACCCGGTTCTCCCCTCCCCGCAGCTCGGCGCATCTCTGTCTGATCGCGGCTTCTGTCTGCTGCATGGGCTGACTGCTTGTGGAGCTCTCGGAGACCTCTGTGTTCCACCCGGTTTTACCCAGCGGTCAGCCCGGCGTATCTCTGACTCAGAAGCTCTGGTGTTGTACACAGTTAACTCCAGTTGTAGCTAGGTTGCTACCTCCGTTAGCTTAGCTCCCACCTCCGCATTAGCTTTGGGGTAGCTTCAGGTTAGCTTGTAGCTAGTTCGACCAGGTGTGGTCAGTTGATCCCAGCCTTACAGCCCCACCCTCAGCTCCACCTCTTCCCTTTTATGGAATTGTCTGGGCTTGACGGAACCTGTGACGCGGTCAAAATGGCGGTGGTGGCCACCTCCCATTTTAGTACAAAAACTTATTATTGGAGTCTATGGAAACCCATAGTCCGCATATGTATGTCGATGATCTTGCCCAAGGACACAATAGCAGCCTTCTCTGGTTGCAGTCGGGATCAAACCTGCAACCTTCCGATTACTGGACAACTCGCTCTACCTCCTGAGCTACTGCTGTTGAGGATAAATGACTACCTTCACTCAGAAGAAGATATGAAACACAGAACATCCATGTTTACAGTAAAGATGGAGGATGCACACGACAGCGTGTGTATAATTACTGCAGCTGTGTATTTGAAGATTTTAGCCACGCTTGTCTACGGTTTGGATGTAGCATGAGAGGCAGGTGGACTCACCTGAACACATTACTACAAAGACAGCTGTACTAAGAGGGAACTGTGTGCAGCTGTGCATGTGAGGCCAAAGGCTGCCTAAAGGACACGTGCTCCTGTGAGATGGCACCCCTCAGCCACGAGTTTGGAGAATTTTTATTTTTTTAAGGTGGTTGCAGACTCTCCTACATGTTTTAGCTGTTAACATACACTTCCAGTCTTATGTCTTTAACAATCAGCCAGCGGCTGCTCTGGGAAAACCCTTCTGCATTACTTGAGGCTGCTGTCTTGGGTGGACTGATAAAACGGGAGGATGTCCTTTCTTTCCTTTTCCAATAAATGTGACTTTTATTCAGCTTCACATGCACCAGCCTGCCTATATTTGTTCTACATGTTGACTTTCTGGGATTTAGCCGAGCCACACAAGTTTGTCTCTGTGAGCTGAAAGCCAGTTTATCTAAAACTGGACGCTAAACCAACAGAACTGGATCAATAACAACTGCTGTCTAAACAAAAGTCACTTTTAGACCAGATTTAATTATAAACACATTAAAACGCACACATTTTGCATTTGTAAAGGAAAGAGAAACAATATTGGCGTATGCATCTTAGGTGTGTTTTCTGAGAGGGGAGTCGGGGGAGGAGTTACTCACCAGACTTCCAACACACATGTGCTCCTGTGGAGGAGGACTGGTGTGACTCTGAACAGAACAGCCTGCTAGGAAGCTTGGCGACCCAGAGGAGTCCGGACCTCTAACTGGAGATGCTGCAGACCATGGAGCAGCAGAGGAGGGAAGAGCAGATGAAGATACCGGTGAAGAAGTAGCAGGAGACTGGCAGGGCGTGGGTGACAGACTGTGAGATGGAGACGGAGTGCTTGGAGGGTGGGAAGCTCCTGAAGACATTGATGCATTAGCATTGAGGCGCCTGCGGGCGAACAGAGCCCTCCTGACACTGGCTGAGCTCTTCTTGGGGTTAAGAGACATGGATGAGCTGTACTCCATCGCCCGGTCTCCCAGCGGATCTTTCTCACTGTTGGTGTGAGAAACTCCAGACCTGCTGCCTTCATGCTTGTCCATTACATCTTCATTCTCACTAGCTGCGTCTTTCCCCACCTGAACCTCCTGAACAACCTTTTGTTGATGCGGATGAACGGATTGGTCTTCAAGAACTCCTACGTCAGAAAAAGACAATTACTCTGCTTGTCTCATTCCCAGATCACATTTACGTTCTGATGTTTAGGCTGCAAAAGACGTCTAATGTCTCTTGGAAGAGGTTTTCAAAAATTTGGGAATGCTTAGACAGCTCAGGCTGTAGAAAATAAGAAACATCTGATTTAGTATCTACAGCAGGAGGCACTTCAATAAGAACAGCAGAAATATCGACAGACATCTAATAAGGAACAAAGCCGTTCCCTGGCGATACGATGTATTTTACAATACGAGGAGACGATACGATATATTGCGATACTAAAATTCAGACAATCAGACGGTTTTTATTTAATTGGAAATCTCAGGTCACAAACTTCCAAGACACATCCAGTTTCATTGCAAGATTTTGTTGTTCCGAGTGAAAGAAGGGGGTAGAAGCTGATGTTGGAGTTTGAATTGTGCCACTCAAGAGAAACAGTAAATGTTTGCATCTAAATTCTCTAATAAAACATTTGATGCACTTCTTTTACATATCAATTAAATGTAACAACACAAAATATCGCAATATTTCCGTGTATCGATATGTTCTTCCTTCCCAAGAGTAATCTCACCACCTGAGGCAAAAACATTGTAGAAAGGTGACCTAACCTTCCAAAAGCTTTGGGGCGTCTGCCTTCACACACATGAACATCAATGGCCACTCATCTTTAGTCTACGGGGTTTAATAAAGAGTTCATCCAACCTTAACACGGCGTTCCACAAGGTTTACGAATGTGTTTATAGGAATGTTGGACCATTATTCTAGACACTGGACAAAAAGGCCTGCTTCTTCCCAAAGCTGCTTTATTTAGTTGTGAACATGACCCACACCGAGCTCTCTCATGGTCTGTACTGGAACATGCATACCTCATCTAAACTCGGTCTGGGCAATATCTCGAAATCTTTAAAATATCAATATAATTTCAAACATAAAACAAAATGACCCAGTTATATTTTCATCAATAAAAATATGCATCTTTGCTTGTTCTGTGAGTTTAGGTGAACGGCCATGTCTTTCTCCATGTTTGGATGGCGGAATGAACAGGTCTTCTAGAGATGTTCAAAGCTTGGGATTATTTTTATAATCTAACCTGCTTTAAATGTATCACCTACTTTATCCCTGACCAGTCTGGCGAGCTCCTCGGTCTTCGTGGTGCTGTTTGTTCAGTCATGTTCTCTAATAAACCACCGAGGCCTTCATAGAGCAGGTGTATTGATAACAGGTGAACTTGATTATCTATTCAGGTGACTTCTGAAGGCACTGGATCTGATTTGTACAGAGAAGCTGAATACATATGTACACCAAACTTTTCAGGTTTTTATTTGCTTAAATTATCTTTGAAAACCATGCATCAGTTTCATTCAATGTCATAATTACTACTTCATGTTGGTCTATCACAGAAAATCTCAATTAAAAACATTTAAGTTTGAAGTTGTGACATTTCAAGGGGTATGGAGACTTTGCAAGGCACTGCACGGACAATAAGACGCTCTTTATGCCAACCACACAGATTTAAGCTGTAGTAATGGCTGGTGGTTGTCCTGATTGTAGTTTGAATTTCATGGTCAGTGTAGGGATTTGCTTTGATGCATAATCTTTCCAGTGTCACGACACCCACATGAAGCTAAACACCCGCAATTTCCTTGTTCAGGTATACTTAATGCTTAAAGGTGGTGTTGTATTTATGTTTACACAGTTTACCAAACAGAGGTGACTACGAACCTTGAGCCTTGTGACAGCTGGCTTCTTCTTCTTCTTGCCCTTTCTCAGACATCACGCTTTCAACAAGTTGAACTGAAAATACCAGAGAAGCAGCTTGAGGTCAATCTACTGTGAACACACCAAGAGCATAACTTTGATGGTCCGTCTTACCTGGAGCTTCCAAAGTGCTGCTGCTCTGATTACTGTTACTGAGCAGAGACTCTGTGGGGAAAACAATAGCATTCTTCTCCTCACCTCCACCACACTCATCACTGTACAGATTCAATCTGTGGATGTGGAAGAGAAGGATGGGTGAGTTTGGTCTGCAGAGTCTCACTACTGGTATTCCAAGCAAGGGAATGTTAAAGTGACAGTATGTATTTTTCCTGGCGATAGGGGGCAGTAGATATCTAAACAGTAGCAAGCAAGCTGTATTTTGGTGTTGGAGTAATACTTTACCAACGGATGCCCATTAGGGCCAAAAAGGACTGGGGAGTGCAAACTTCAGCAAAATGACAAACACATTCATTACTGGCAACGAGTGAAGAGGTACATTTGTAAAACAACAACGTTTATTAATGGTGAACGTTTTGTATCCGATTGTCAAAAATCATCTGAGACTTAGACCAGCGCCCATGATTTTTATAGTTATATGTTACGACGCTGCCAATATGGGAATCCTTCAACTCATTTTCAACAACATTTTGATAGACATTTCCAGATATTAACGATAAAAACTACACATTGTCTCTTTAACGATGGTGTGAGAATCACCTCAGCACCTGTATTTAATGATTTAATCCCCTGATCTGTTGGCATTTTACCTGTTTGGACTTCTCTACATGGAGCTCACACTATAGCAGCTGGTCCACTCCTCAATGAACACCGTGGGTCCTTCAGCGAGGCACCAACCTCAGCTTCAACAGAGCTGCTTTCATACGCCGAAAATCAACCCCGCCTTAAAACCCTGTCACAGCTCACACCACCTCCAAGTCCAACCAGGAGGGAGCTTACGATACAACTCAAGGTCCAGGGGAGGGAAATCCTGGCCCAAACCAGCTGCAGCTCCAAATAAGGGAGTAAGTAAAAACATGATCATGTAACACTCATCTTTTATAATCCACTGGTTTTCTTCTCATTTTGCCAGAAGCTGTGTTGATGGATAAAACCCAGCAGGCATCCTGAGAGTTCTTACAGCCACAAAAGAAGAACACACTTTACAGTTTTACTTGCACACCAAACTCCAGCACTGTGAGGTATTTTTATACATCGGCATTTCATAACCCACCCTTTCATACTAAAGACAACAGGCTTTGTGCTTTAACACTCCCCAATAATAGCTGGCAAAATGGCAACATTCGGTGACCTTGCTGCCTCCGTTTGGTCTTTTTGCACCTCAGACAGTCTGAACAGATGGAGAAACGATAGCGCAAGCGGGCATGAGGATGAGTCACTCTTTCAGGAAAGCTGCATTGAGTGTCAACATGAGTCACGACAGGAATTTATGCACGAAACACTCAAATCAGAAAACAACACATGCATATGGCACCTCACAGCACTTCCAGGTGTCATGTTGCTGCAACGTTCATTTCTGATGAGCATCACGACACAAGCGTGCCTGGTTTGAATGAACCGCTAACTCATCTGTCTTTGTATGTTTGATGTTTTATTTTATGAATGAGTCCCATCAAAATATGGGGTCAGGTTATCAGGTGCCATCATTGTGGCTGTTAACACTGTAATAAAAATAATTACACAAATGCAAGCAAATAAAAATAAAATTTCTCCCATTTATGGTCACATGATGTGGTTTACGTACTAAAACAAATGTTGAAATGAGACTAAGACCATGTTCATACAAACATGGATAGTTTGTAGTTTTGTATACTAACAGGATTAGTACATTCCTTATTGAATGGAACTAACTGAATGGAGATTTTAGCCTCCGTGTGGAAGATTTAAGTACTACAAAAGCAAAGTGTCCATTTTATTTGATCATTGTTGTAATATTGTACAAAAAACCTATCAAAGTTTATTCAATAATTGGGCAATTATATTATTTGCATTGCGATATAAATTCATCAATCTTTTGAAAAAATAAAATAAAATAAATAACTGAATGTTTTTTCATGCACTATGGGGCAAAAAAGTATTACTCAGCCACCAAAAGTGCACATTATTAAAAAGATGAGAGAGGCCTAATTTAAATCATAGGTATACCTCAACTATGAGAGCCAAACTGAGAAAAAAAAAAAAAGAAAATCACACAGGATTTTTTTAAAAGCTCAGCATTCTCTTGTGGAGGTCGGGGGCGCCGGGTCTGAGCCACTTCCAACCCATAAACCAGCTTCCATGGCCCGCTAGGGTTTATGTTTAAAAAAAGCTTCCCTCTTTTGGGGCTGGTGGTTCTGAGACGCTGCTCCATCAACACCTTGCAAAATGTGCCATTATCCTATACCTGTGATCATTAGCTTCAGAGGAAGGTCACACACAGGAAACCGCTTTCGCAACCTTCAAAACCTCTGCTCGCTAAAACCAACTCCCCCCGAAGACACCCACCTGTCTATGGGACTTTGGAACTGCCATTCAGCTGTAAACAAAGCTGACTTCATTACCACATATGCAAACTGCCTGTCACTTGATGCACTGGCTCTCACTGAGACCTGGATCAAACCATGTGACAATGCTACCCCATCTGCTCTCTCAGTTAACCACACTTTCTCCCACACTTCACGTGCATCTGGTCGAGGTGGTGGAACGGGCATGTTAATTTCCAACAAATGGATATACAGTCAGTTGCTACCCATCACTAAATACAACTCCTTTGAATACCATGCCATCCAGGTAACTGTACCGAAAAAATTCTTTTTGGTTGTCATATATCCTCAACCAGGTCAACCCTGCTCTCCTCCATTCCTGAGCAAGACTGTCCCACAGTGGTCCTTGGAGACATGAATATTCACCTGGACAATCCCAACTCATCAGGCCTCCTGTCACTAATGTCATCATTTGATTTAAAACTAGTACAAAGCCCTCCAACTCACAAAGCTGGAAAAGCACTTGACCTCATTTTCACCAGAAACTGTGTCATAGACACAATCTCTGTCACACCGCTGGATCTTTCCGATCATTACTTCATCCATTTCAGCACGACTCTACAAGGGAGGTCCACTGCTTCCTCCCCAATGGTCTCATTCCACCGCAACCTCCGCAATCTGGCACCCAACCACTTCTCCTCTCTTGTTGCCTCCACTCTTCCATCTCCCAGCACATTCTCTGCTTATGAAGTGAATGATGCCACCGAGTCACTCTGCTCCACACTCTGCTCTTGTCTTAATAACTTGTGCCCTTTAGCCACTAGACCTGCTAGATCCTCTCAGTCGCACCCTTGGCTAAATGATACCCTCCGGTCTCTACACACCAATCTTAGAGCTGCGAAATGGAAATGGCGCAAAACAAAAGATCCTGGTGATCTATTGAATACCAACCTCCTACCAACAATCTATCAGGTGACACCTTTGCCTCATTCTTCACTGACAAAGTGGCAGCTATAAGAAAACAGTTTACTCAACTGGCCACTCCTGAACATTCGCTACCACAAACTCCTTCTAGCCCGACCATCTCAGGCCCTACTGCTTCATTTCCCTCTTTTTCCCCATCACTGAGAACTGTGTGTCCAAGCTTCTCACGTGCAGCCGCCCTACTACATGCCCACTTGACCCCATTCCGACTAAGCTGCTCCAAGCTATTGCTCCTACAGTGGACGCAGCAGTCACACATGTGATCAACGTTTCACTGACATCCGGTACATTTCCCACCTCTCTCAAGCATGCTCAGGTTAAACCGCTGCTAAAAAAAACATCTCTTCCTCCAAATCATGTGGAGAACTACCGACCTATCTCTCTCCTCCCTTTTCTGTCCAAAACCATTGAAAGGGTGGCTTTCAAGCAGATCACAGAATACCTCCCACAAAACTGTCTGCTTGACCCTTACCAGTCTGGGTTCAAAAAGGGCCACTCCACTGAAACTGCTCTGTTAGCAGTGACTGAATCCTTAAAAGAAGCTAGAGCGACAGACAAATCCTCAGTGCTTATCCTGCTCGACTTATGGGCTGCATTTGTCAACCATGGCTTCCTTTTGTCCACACTCTCTAGCATGGGCATCACAGAGAAAGCACACGCCTGGTTTGAATCGTACCTCACAGGACGATCATTCATTGAATCTTGGCTTGGACAATCCTCTACTGTGCACCATCTTGCCACAGGAGTCCCCCAGGGCTCAGTACTAGGACCTCTTCTCTTTGCCATATACACACCTCACTTGGTGAGATCATTCAATCACATGGCTCCTCCTACCACTGCTATGCAGACGACACCCAGCTCTATCTGTCATTTCCACCGGACGACCACACTGTCTCTGCACGAATATCAAACTGTCTCTCTGACATATCAAAATGGATGAAATCCCACCATCTCCAACTCAACCTCTCTAAAACTGAACTACTTGTCATCCCAGCAAAACCATCCATACAGCACAATATCTCAATCCGAAATGACTTCCTATCTCTGGCTCCTTCAAAGGCAGTTCGAAATCTGGGTGTTGTGACTGATGAACACCTGAGCTTTAAAGATCATGTTGCCTCTGTTGCTTGTTCATGCCACTTTGCGCTGTATAACATACGAAAGATCAGACCATACCTAACACAACATGCCACCCAGCTCCTGGTGCAATCTACTGTCATCTCCTGCCTCAGTTGCTGCAATGCCCTTCTAACTGTTCTTCCAGGCTGTACTGAGAGACCTCTTCAAATGGTCCAGAACGCAGCGGCGCGTCTGGTCTTCAATCAGCCAAAAAGAGCACACGTCACCCCTCTGTTCATTGAGCTCCACTGGCTACCGCTAGCAGCACGCATCAAATTCAAATTGATAACACTAGCATACAAAGTCCGAGACGGTACGGCTCCCATCTACCTGAATCCTCTTGCAAAGGCTTACGTCTCGGCCCGGCTGCTCCGGTCATCACAGGATCGTCGGCTAGCAGTGCCTACACCACGCTCAGGACAATCCAGACTTTTCTCATGCATCGTTCCACAAATGTGGAATGACCTACCAAGCACTACCAGAACAGGGGCTTCCTTTTCAATTTTCAAGAAACTCCTGAAGACCCTGCTCTTCAGAGAGCATCTTCTAAACTAGCACCCTCCCTGCACCCGTCCCCCCTCTCTACTGTCCACTCCTTGTTCCCTCCTCTCCATGACTGATGCCAAGTTGTTGTTGTTATTGTTGTTGTTAGCCTCAAGGGTAATATGCCGATTATCACTTGTAAGTCGCTTTGGACAAAAGTGTCTGCTAAATACATAAACATAAACATAAACAAGACCACTGATAATCTCCGTCGATCAGGGGCTCCACGCAAGATCTCACCCTGTGGGGTCAAAATGATCACAAGAACGGTAAGCAACAATCCCAGAACTACACGGGGGACCTAGTGAAGGACCTGTAGAGAGCTGGGACCAAAGTTACAAACACACTACGCCACCCATCCATTCACCCATCCATTTACTTCCGCTTATCCGGAGTCAGACAGCTTTGGCCTCCAACATAAAAGGATAGAGAAGTTTCCACAACATACTGTAGTAAGGGCAGCGTAAGCTTGCACTTCAAGCTTTGGTTTAAAGCAAGAAGGTACAACAATATAATTTTATCTTGAGCCCCAGAGGTCCATACTCACCTTCTCTTGGACATCAGGGCTTTAGGAAGCTGTTTATTCCTGGAACATGACTGAGCTTGCTCCTGCTGTCTATTCTTGTCTTCCTTCTCAAATTTGCCTGACCCATTGTCACTCGCTGATAGCTGGCCATTCTCTTGTCCTCCATGGCCACTGCTATAGGTCGGACTGTTGACCTGAATTCAAAAGAGACATAGGCAAATTCATCAACTCTGCTCCAGCGTGCCCAGAAACACCCAAATTGGAAAATCAACAATGTGTTTCATAGCATTTGTTAAATCTCACTTGAATATATTTTATATGAACGTTTTGTCTTTACATATAATTAATTTAAAGGAGCAATATGTAAGACTTCTACAGTGAAATATTTCCAAAAAAGTCTAATATCCCAATCATGTTGGAAGGAAGGTCACACTGAATCAGATTCCATTCTCAGCCAGCTTTTCAGTTTTTCTCCTTTCAAAAAAACAAAAGCGGGATGTAGTTACTGTTTACAATCAGTGAGTTTGTGAGGTTGTTGAGTCTGCACTGAGCTAACGCTGCAGCGCCGGCATTTGTAACTTGCCACTGGCGGGCAAAAATCTCCAGAGTTATTTTAAGAACTGAAGTCAGTAAACAGGAGTAACCCAGAAGTTGCTTCACAGCATCTTTTTGTTTTACTCTTTATGTCAGTTGAAGCAGGCTAGAAGCTAACGTTGAGCTAACAATGCTAACAGTGAATTAGAAGCAAATAGTTAGCTCTAATGTCTCTAGCTAATGTTTTGATTACTAAAGACTGGATATTACAGTGAAATGTATGAGTGATGTAAATGAGTCAATCGTAGCACTTAACTTCCTTTAATGAGTCGTTCAGGACTATGACTATGTATTTACTAACTTCTAAATGTACTGTGTGACTCGTCTCCGTTTGTCACCTAGAACGTTATGGCACTGATCCGTAACTGGCAACAGCCATCAGCCATCAAACTCACAGAACAGCAGTGAGAAAGTAATATTTTGCTTAGAAAAATAGACTGCAGTACCCTAATTTGACCACAGGACGTCATTCTTGCATGTTGCACATTTAACTATACTAAATTGACATATCTACGACAAATTTTGATGGATTCTGTTTAGGGATGGGTACCGAATTCGGTACTTTTTAAGGTACCGACAGAATTCCACAGTACCGACCGAGCACCGATTCACTTCATTTGAAACGGTGCCTCGTTTCGGTACCCGTCCTTCACAACGAGAACTTGCCTAGACAGCTGCGCATGCGCAAGAGCGTTATGTCATCGGTCGCTGCGAGCGAGTTGTAAATAGAGCAGCTCCGGTAGGTAAATAAAATGTTTAAGATAAAGTTAGCTTGATTTGCTAGCTTCCGTTTCACTAATGGTGCGTTCGCTTTCTCCTCGGAACTCCGAAATTCCGACTAGAACAACATGAATGCGCTCTAAAGTTTGGCTTCACTTTACTAAATGCGACGGGTGATTGGGTGAAGATGAAACCAGTGACAACGATCTAAGTGTGAGGCATCATCGTTTTAATCTGCTCCAGCAGCTAAATAAACTGTTAAAGATAACATTAGCTTGATATGTTAGCTTCCATTTCCACCATTGTTATCAGCTAATGGTGCGTTCGCTTTCTCCTCGGAAATTCTAACTTCCCAGTAGGAAAAATCAAATGAACAAAGACGGCAAAAGGAATGAAGATACACAGTAAATGTAGTTCACAGTAAAGATGTTTGCTTCAGTTTAATTATCAGCTTATAAAACTACAAGGACAATGTTAAAATACAAACAGTTGTATGTTATTTATCGTGATATTTATCAAATATGGTTATAAATTGAGAAAAATATATATTTAATTATAAAAGAGAATGAAAAATATTAAACACTCAAAAGTATCGAAAATTGGTACCGTTAAGTACGGGTATCGATTCGTAGGTACCGGGAATTAGTACCGAATTGATTCAAATGTCAAACGTACCCATCCCTAGTTCTGTTTCTTGTTGGCCATTTATATCACAACCCATCTAATCTATCCATAGACAAGATTAATCTGTGCCCAGTAGTGTAATTACCTCAGTGGAATGCGTTTTCCCGATGTCTTCCTTCTCCCTGGAGTCGGACATTGTAACTGACATGGGGGATGTGGTGTAAATAGAGGGACTGTGCCTCTGCTTACAGTGTAGCAGAGACAGAGCTGTCTTACTGGAGAGCCCAGGTGGGTTGGGATCATGGCTGCTGGTAGACCATGATGAATACACTGAGGGCTTCTGTTCATCCAGAGTCGAAGGGTTAGGCTTGATGTAATTCAAATAGCACCAGCTATTGCAAGTGCCAGAGAGCAGACTGGGAAATGAAGATTTGATGCTTGAGATGTGAAAACCAGTATTTGGTAAACATGACTGGATCTCCTGTTTGAGCTCTTGGTTGAATCTGTCAACTGCTGCTGTTTCAGTACATCTCATCTCCTTCTCCTCCTCTTCTTCTTTGACTCTTTTCTGTTGTTGTAACTCAGGGTGGAACTCTATACTGTTTGAAGGAGAAAGCATGCGCTTGTTGCTCCCTGAGCCTGACGACCTCTGCCCATCATCCGACCATGGTTGCTGATCAAAATGTCTGTTCTTGTGATTCTTGTGTTCAGCTGATGAAATGCTTATGTTGGGTGAAACAGCATCAAATCCCTCCAGGGGCTTCGGGGATGTGGTTTGAGACAGTGTTGTATATATGGCACAAGCTGGAGTCAAGGTGTCTGTTTGGAGACGAACTACTACTGTTGGAGATGTTGGTGGCCTCAGTACTTCCAACCTGGAAGTAATGAGAGGAACAGATTGCTGCATTCGGGAGTGACTGGTTTGATTGTCTGAATGTTTATCATTGGGTGAAGGAATCTCTAGCTTCAGTCCTGTGGCCATGGGCAGATAGTGGGCTCTGGCTGCACCTGATGGTCCATATGAAGGGCTGGGCTGTGGTGCTTGAGGAGGAAGCTGTTCAGGATGGATGTAAGAGGCATCTTTTATTCCACTTATAGAGTTTTTGGGGTTTGAAAGTTCTGTGTTTTTCATCACATGAATGTTATGACTCTGTTTCCATTTAGAGACACTTTCTTTACACTGTAATCTTTCTGGGTTACTCAAGGATCTGCCACTTGATAAAAGGGGGGAAGACCTGCTGCAGTGGCCCGAAGAGGGATTTGTTTGAGATGACTTGCTAGTACTGACACCTTCAGGACAACATCTCTGGATGGAACATTGGTCTTCCTCGTCTTGATCTCTGATTACTGAGTGCCTCATGAGAAGGCATCTTCTTCGCTCCTTCCAGCCAATTGCGGAGCGTTCTGGGGAGAGACAACTATAGTCAAAAGACTTGCTGCGGGCCTCAGCTATCAGGGCACTTGGTTGTGGGTCATGAGGAGCTTGCTCAGATGCTGAGCGCCTCATCTCCCTGTGCTGATGCACCCCAGGTACAGTCAACATGTGAAGGGCTCTTGATCTCCTCAGCGGTGTAGATTTTAAAACCTCCATGTCTGCTCTGTTTGGTTCTTCATAAGATGTAGAGCGACTGGACCCAAAGGATGCACTACTATCTTGACTAGGACTTTGAGGCAGAGATACAGAGTCAAAACTGGATTCACCTGAGGATTGGGCAGCCTCAGCTAGACGTAAGCGCTTCTTCTTCGGTGGAAGCTTTTCGATAGGTAGCTGTGCTAAAGAGGGACTTCGTTGCGGCCATTGAAATTCATCAGGCTTCTCAAAGGTTTTAGTCGAAGAGGTTGGTTCCATTGAGGTCTCTGAATTAATATTGATATCTTCTGTTACAAGTATTTCTGGAACTTGCACAATTTTTTGGTGAACCAGTTTTTGGGCTGTATGTTTCATTGTCTTATGTTGGGATGGTATTTTAACCCTCAGTAGATGTTCTTCATGTGGTGGGGAGTTTTTTATGTTTTCCAAGCTTTGATTCTCATGACATAAAGATTCCTGTTTTTCAAATGAACTTGTGTGTTGAATCACTGAACAGGTTTGCAAGGCAGACCTTGTTGGCTCTTCATGAGCTACGCGAGATTCATTTTTACACTGTCCTGACAAGATGGCTAAAGAAGACAATGAGGAAGACGAGGGATCATCAAACTCAAAACTCTCCTCTTTCCTTCTCTTGCGCATCATTGAAGCTCCTGCTCGGGGGTCAGGGTTACTCAACTGTAAAGACTCCAATTGACTCATCTCCATTTCACTACGAGAATGATGTGCAAAGCATACAATTTGCTTGTGTTTCTTATAGCCTTCCCAATCCTTGCATCCAGTGCCACAGGCCTCACATTCATACGGTTGGGGTAGACGTTGCTTTTGATCAAAAACAGTGGTTACATTTTTCAGGTAAAATGAATCAGAAGCCCCATGGTCCCCTTTAGAAAGCTCTGTACCTAGTGGGATTTCAATTGCTGGTTGCCTTCTTAGTGTTCCAAAACGGCGGGGCATTTGAGTCTTGGAAGGCTGCTGTTCATCAAAGGATTGACTTAAGGCCAGTTTTCCTGTGCCACCACAAGAAGTGTCAACAGAACTAGATGCAGATGGCATTGAGTGGCTTCTAACTAAAGAGCTGGTGGTAATTTGGCCAACTGCTTGCTCAGCTTTAAGAGATGAATGATGAAATTTTTCACAAGGAACTCCCATGCTGATAGAACCAGTGCTTTTGTAACCCAGCTCTCCAGCTTTAGGGCTGTGAATAAGGGATTCATTTATGCCTGAATTTCTCTGAGCCTCTGAACTGTTCTTTCTGGACAGTGAAAATCTTCTTGGTTTTACACTGTCAATTTTACTGGTGTCTACCACAGCCTCATTGATGGTAATAAGTTTGGTGATATGGTCAATGACCTGCTTTTTAGGTACAACAAATGGGATGTTTTTCTCCTCCTGACCAGAGACCTGCTGGTTGTGATGACGAGGAATTCTCTGCAGTTGTCCGAAACGTCCATATTTACCAAGGATGATCTCCGCATAGCTTTTGGCATTTGTGTTTGGGGGGCTGTCTTGCGACTGCTCAGTGCTTTCAGAACGTGAAAAGTATCCAGATTCTGTACTACCTTTACTACCAAAATTTAGAGAGCATGTTTTATCATCAGAGGACTCTTGTGAGGCATGTTTCCCTCGACTCAGGCGGAGGGCCAGTCGCCTTTTTACTGCATTTGAGTCATTTCTTCCTCCAGTACAATCTTTGGCCTCTCCTATTTCATAACTTTTAGATGGCGCTAAACTGTTTTGTCTATTTATAAGGGATGAAACAGATGACAGCTGTCTGGTCTCATCTTCTGACTCTGTGATTTGATCCTCTAAAGACTTTGGCTCTCCAAGGGCTAGACCTGCCTTTACCCTGTGGGTGTGTGATTTGCAATGTTTGTATAGGTTACTCTTGGTCTTGAAAGAGAAGCCACATGGGGCACAAGGATAGGGTCTTTCACCTGTATGCGAACGGATGTGTTTCTGAAGGACACTCGGCTTTGCACATGCTCGGCCACAGTACGTGCAAACATATTTGCCTGGTCTCTGAGGCTTGTGCTCACGTTTCTGTTTGGGGTTGTCCTCCTGGGTTTCTGATGAAGACTCGGCAGGGACTTCTGCTGAAGATGGGAGCACTTCTGATGACAAACTTGACACTTGAGCTTGCTGTATAGCTGCTGATGCTTCCTGTTTCTTTTCCAGCACTGAATCCAAATAAATGCTCTGCCGTTGTTGTCGAAGGCGTTTGCGCTCAGGGTTATGCCTTCTGGTTTGCTTAGTTGACTGTGGTGCACAATGAGACTTTGAGGAACTGGTTTGCTGCTGCTCGCAAAACTTGGAGAGAGACTTGCATTGTGGGCTTTTCTGAACAGATTCTATTTGGCAATGTTCTTGACCTCCGGACTGCTCCCCGGTTATTGACTGGCTATGCAAGACCTCCATAAAACAGATGAATGCCCCAGGTAGACACTTAGGTTGCGTCTGCCTGAACTGGGCAACTCAATTAAAGCCAGATCATTAAAAGGATTTAATATGAAGAAATAACTTCACCCAATTTTACTGGCAGAGGTCATAATAGTTACTTGATGGACTTGAACATAATTGCCTGGCAGCAGAATGATGCCACCAAATCAATTGGCCTTGAAATAGCCTGCCTTAATGTTTTTTGATAGCATGTTCTGTGGAGTATTTCTTTTGAAATTCACCAAAGTAACACGAAGGAGTCATCCAATCCTAATTCCAGACATAATGATGGTAAACTGGTTTATTTTACAATTCTTCTGTCTTCTCATCACAACAATCTGTTGAAAGAGAGAGAGAGAGAGAGAGAGAGAGAGAGAGAGAGAGAGAGAGAGAGAGAGAGAGAGACATGTGTTATGTAGGAAAGTCCAGACAAGCCCTCTACAAAATAACTCCTTATGTGATAGCATTCATCTTTTAATCTACAGCTTCTGGAAAATTTAAACTGGAAAAGATTATGCACGGTCTCCTACACTATGTCTCTGAACAGCACCAATTTCAATTTTTAAATCAGTCACGTATTTTGCATTTTTGCTGACCAACACGGTCGCACATCCAACCACTCCCACAAAGCCGGCAATGCAAAAACAAAAAATCCTAATGAAGCTTATCTTTAAGATCCCAAGAGGAAGCTGCATATACTTTGGCAGGTAAATCAAGCTTTCTTCATTTCTCATCATACAGACACTATGTAGTATGTAGCACTTACTCCTTCTACATACGCCTAACTTTGAATCCAACAACTGTGATTTTAGTTACCTTAAAGAGCCACAATAAATGCAGACATTGGATGTGTTATTATTGATGAGCCCTTCAGTGGAGACTATACCAATGTTATTTTGCGCCAGCACACTGAAACAGTACACAAGGCATCCCACACACTGACCAGCTGGTTCCTACACCCACATTCTGGTGGAAGACTGCAAAGCTGCTGGATATTATCCAAGTAGCAGATAACTGCCTTACAGCAATCTTGGAATGAAGTTGCGATGCACTATAGATGTGAATCTATACCAGTCTTAGATCCTTCATAACAAATCAAGTATTCTGTAACACACCATAGGTATAGAATTTCTTCTGTTTGCACAACAGCGTTTAGACTACAGAGCAAGCTTTCCTTCCTGACAGTATGAATCATTAAATGTAGGTCAATAAGGTAAAGTGAGAGCTTTTAGTACATGGTCAGAGACTGACTTCTCGCTTGGGTATTTTCTGTAAAATACTTATATTTCCCACTTGGTGGTGGCATGAATCAGGGTGAAATCCGTTTAAACAACATGTGCAAAATACAGCCTTCTTATGTAAAATCATGTAAAATGCATGGAGCTATTCACTTAAATGCCTAGCAGCAGACACGCTTAGAAAGTGCACCCTAGAAACGGAACGTTATAATAATTTCACGGTCCTGAAAATTAGGCAAATAGAAGCAGACATCTCTTATTTAACAACATGCAAAAAACTAACAGAGAAATGTTGGAAATGAATTTTTACAGCACCCAATGGAGCCAAAACATGTCATTTTTAACCTGATGGAAGCAGCCTGCAGGTGAACAAACCATCTGTTACTAATTACCAGTGTGGCTCCAGTGCAGTCACTGTCCGACTGAATACAACCACAAAGACAATAAAATCAGAAGAAAACTGATCACATCTTTACTAACACAGCATGTAAAACTCTTTAACCTTGTCTAATGGCTTCAGAAAACAAGGAACAGTCTCCGTGTTTTCTGTTTCAGCAGCGCAGCATACTGAGCAAAGCTGGAAAATACAATCTGAAGAGCACACGCACACACACACACACACACAAAAGAGAGAAAAGCATAAAAAAGCTTTTTAAAATCTTGACAATTTTCCTCTTCTCTCTCTAATAGGCACCCAGTGGTGGTTCCTATGGTAACAGCCCTAAACCATGTGGTAGCAGATGGAAGGAGAGCTGGTGGGCTAAATTTATCTTGTAGCATCCTCGTGGACAAAAGGAAGAGAGAGGCAGGCTGAGGTGCCTCCCTCTCAGGAGCGGAAGATTTTAGGAGAGACTCGTCGTCCTCTCTTCGTTTAGGAGACGTTACGAGAGAGAATATACACGACGGGGCTGAGAAAGCATGAAGCAGTGATCAGCAAACAAAATGCCTAACCTATCTGTCGCTGCTCATGACTTCAGACCCAAACGTCTGGAAACAAGACGTTAAAACGGACAACTCCTTGATGGGCTCCCATTTGTACACACACACCACCTTTGCTGTGTGTGTGTGTGTGTGTGTGTGTGTGTGTGTGTGTGTGTGTGTGTGTGTGTGTGTGTGTGTGTGTGTGTGTGTGTGTGAGAGAGAGACAACAAGCACACTCAGGGAGTGCTCCCACAGGTCTGCCTAAGGAGACTTGAGGCACAACACGGGGAAGTCATTCACTCCCAGCCTGAGCTACAAGCTACAACCCACTCACGCATGATCCTCTCACTCATTCACACACACACACACACACACACACACACACACACACACACACACACACACACACACACACACACACACACACACACACACAGTCTTGCTGCAGAAGACGCGCCACCTGCACACCTAAAGAATAAATAAATAAAATAAATCTGTACAAAATGTTCGGATGCTCCCGGGTGTCTCGGAGGACGACGACTCTGGTGGTTCTTGTGTGTTTCCGCCACTTGCTGGCTCACTGATGCAGCAACAAAAGGCATGAATGGAGGAATGCCACACTGTCCCCGCATCACGTCACACACGTCAGACATTTAATGATGGCAGGTCCAAAGCGTTTCTGTGGGATCTTTCTTTACCTGGTTGCAGTTGGTGTTGTCCTCCGCTTGTGAATGACTGGAAGCAGAGAGGAGGCGAGGAGAAGGAGACACAGCAAAAGGATGAATGAGTGTGACGGTGAGGAGAGGTAATCGAATCTCTGCTCTACGTGCACTGCTCTCACAAACAGGTAGCTGAGTATATTACGGGCATGAATGAGGAGGAGGGGACACTCTCTGTCCACCACCCCCACCCCTCCGCAGCTCTCTTTTGGGTCAAACTGAAGCAGCAACTTCTTTTTGGAAGTTGACATAAGCTTGTGCTTCTTTTGGCAGCTGTTTCAGTCAGCACAGCTGGCACAGCGAGGAGAGGCAGGGTAAGGCAGTCCATGTTTTCATTTGTCAAAGAAGAGGTGGTTGGACTTCGTGTTTTGTGAAAACACCCGTTCCTCCTTCAGGTCTGGTTTTCCACCATACGAGACATAGCCGTTCCACTGTGGAAATATTGAGAGCATGCAAAGATGGGGATTTGGATTTTAATAGTTCTGGAGGATGTCCACGGTGTTCACGCCAGGCAACCTTGACATCACTCGCTGCTACGTTGTCTTTATCCGACTGGGGTTGTTCAGCAGCTGGCATGTGGAGCAGCGAGGGAACACCAGCCCAACAGGAAGGCTTTAAGGGGATGTAGAGGACAGCCAAGGGTGTTCATCTCATGGGACTCACGTTGTGCTAGTGAAAACTGAAGGTTCATAATTAACCCTTTGTGCTTTTGCACAGACGAGAAAAAGCACCTGTTCTTTTACAATGGCAACTGTTGCAAGTTCCCACATGCCAAAGACAGTGGCAAGAAACGGAGTCAACAGGTGGGCCACAGAGATAAGATTGGACCCACACTGAAACACACTGAACTTGCTTATGCGAGTAAAATCAGCCAGAAGACAGGAGCCCAACTGCACAACAAGCATCCAAGCTGGGACAAAAGAAGATCAACTGAAGATAAAGCATCTCAGAAGTGGACAAACCCTTCATGAAGAATCCAAGGGATCAGAACTTGCTTCTGCGAGTAAAATTGGGCAAGAAGTGTTTGACCCAGCCTTCAGCAAGAGAGGTGAAGTCAAAGGAGGCAGACTGAAAAGAGCCTATCAGGAGACGACAGGCCTTCATGAAGAATCCTGGACTCCGGGAGAAGCTGAAGATCAGTTGCAAAAATGACACCAAATGTCTTGTGTTGAGCTAAAAAGTATGAAACTGATGAATGACCTCATTGTCTTGCTGTCATGTGATAATGATATATGTGTAACTGGAAAACTTTTACTTTGTCTAGGTTGTCCCAAAAAGAGTATAAAAAGAGCAGCTAGAAGCAGAGCTGACAGAGTTGGGGCAGTCGACAGTGAGAGACAGAGCAGATTTGGGATAGAAGAGGTCATCCTCCATCCTCTGTAATTGTTCTAAGCTGTGAGATCCAGTGTATGTGGTAATACAAATCCTGGGTTTGGGTCTGTGACCCTTACTGAAATTATCGATGGTAGGCCAGAATGTTTTTACCACTGAAAACAGAAAAGATGGTTCCAGAGAATGAAACTTTTCTGACTAACATTGGTGGATATTGATATTGATGCCAATATTGATTGTGCATCCCTATCAAGGACATTAATAATTTAGCATTTGTTGTATTTTAAAATGTATTAAAGGGGCAATATGTAACAATTCTTCAGTGAAATAATCTCAGAACAGTCTAATGTCCCAGTCATGTTGGAAGTAAGGTTACATTGAAACAGATTTCATTCTCAGCCGGCTAGGGAGCTGTCAGTTTTTCTCCTTTCAAAAAAACAAAAAAACAAAAAAAAAAAAACAAAGGAGGGACGTAGTTACTGTTTAAATCCGGTAAGCTTTTGAGGTTGTCAAGTCTGACCTGAGCTAACACTGTAGTACCAGCATTTGTAATTTGACATCAACACACAAAAAAAACAACCTCCAGAGTTGTTTAAAGAACCGAAGCCAGTAAACCGGAGCAACCAATAATTTATTTATTCAACCTCTAAGAAGTCACGGTGTGTTTTTACTTTACTCTAATACTGGAAAGGGAGGAGACTTATAGAGGATTTCCATCACTGGGTCTGGTACGGACGGGTCTGGTTATTTTTGGACTGGTGTGTTTCAGTATGGAACTGCAATTTTCAGGCGAGCGTTTCGATTGCAATTTGGGCCATCACGTCGGCAGGCAAGGTTAAACGAACCGTCATGCACGATTTTCTGTTGTGCAACTGTTCAGTATTTTTGTGCAGCAATAAATGGTCTACAGAGCTAAAGACAAAATCAAAATGCTTACTAAAGACTCCACATGTGACTCCAGAGTGCCATCACTAAGTCTAGAAGCCTGCCTCGCTGCCTTGGCTATAACTAGCATCCAGCGCATCGTAGCAACTCCGTGAAATTCTTCTATCCGAAAAAAAATTCCACTCTGGCAGTTTCTGTCCTTAACTATTTACTATAATGGGCTTTAATTTCTTCATCTCAGCCCAGCACTGTGCCGACGTCCACTCTGATAATTTGGCTATCATTCGCTGAGAAAAAACCTTCCTTTCCTATCCGTTTAGCTCCTTCTGTGGACTCTCACGAGGACGGTGAGGAATGTATGGAACTACGAAGGTGACCAAAACCTGCTGCTTCTTGCTGGCATTTTTTCACATTCATGTACAGCTAACGAAAATACAAACAACAGAACTCCGTTCATTTTGCTTGTTGCAAGCAGTGACCTATTTTGGTCAACCAATCAGTGGACTGTGTTGTTGCTCCGCTCTAACCATACTGCTCCATAAATTTCTGGACCTAGAACAGAAAAGAGCTAAAAACATCCCATGACTGGTGCGGCCCGAGTAGGTTGTCTGGGCCGGTTTTACAATCGAAACAGAAAAAATTAGTGACCCGATCCTTCCCATTCCATGGTAAGATGTTAGATGGAAATGAGCTATTAGACTCCCAATAACTTCTCAGAGTTACAACCAATCAGCATGAGTTAACTGCCTGGCATCTCTTCAAGTACAAACTCCAAGGTAGGTACTCGGTTGGTTCCCAGAAATATGTCCGTCCAAGCCAGCTTAATAGAGATGTACTGTGAATGTCTAGAAGTTCAGTCCTACTACTGCAGATTTTAGCCATGCATGAAGGATCGTTTATAGCAGTCTGTGTTGCTGCAGGTCTGAAGAAGCCTCTTACTGAAGACACTCTGTTGAATCTAGGAAGTAATTCGATATGGGCCCAAAAACAGTGCATCAGATTATATTGGACGGCATCAAAAATCTCTGATATAAGCAGTCCATTAAGGTTCCCATTTTTGCAACCAAAGGTTAAGAAAAAATTGTCATTTTGTTCATACATGCTGTTATTGGCTCATGTTCTGCGATTGAGTAATATCACTTGATCAAGCCGTTCATGCATTCCAAACTATGAAATAGGTAATAATGTGTATGATTTGTGCTGATTATCAGATTGATATCGGTATCGGTCAATACAGAAGGCTGCAATATCAGTATCGTATCGGATGTGAAAATGTTGTATCGGGACATCCCTAATTGAATCAGGGTGTCAGGGTTGTCCATCATGCTTTTTACTTTATGAAGTATTCTTCCGTACATCTGTAGTGTAACACTGAAGGATCTCATCTTCCTCGAGACATACAGTCTGCTCTGTCCCTTCTTCACTGCTGAGTCTGAATATTTCTGAGGAAGACAGGACTCTGTCAAACTTTTAGTACAAGAAATCTGATACCACAATAAATTTTAAAAACTCGTAAAAATGGGATTTGTTGACAGAAAGATGTTCTTGTTACACAATAAAAACTGATGTCATACAAGTCTTGCCAAACAGTGGTAGTGAGTTAATAAAATATCCTACGTATCCAGTGTGATGGATAATATATTCATCCTAATTAGGGCTGGGCAACATCTCAATATTTTTAAAATATTAGTATAATTTTTACACCGTCCTCCTTGAACCGTCACCTTATCATGGTGGAGGAGTTTGAGTGCCCTAATGATCCTAGGAGCTATGTTGTCTGGGGCACTTTGTGCCCCTGGTAGGGTCTCCCATGACAAATTGGTCTTAGGTGAAGAGTGAGACAAAGAACGGTTGAGAGGATCTTTCATGGATGTAAATTCAAAGAGTCGGAGTACCCAGCCCAGAGGGTTACCGGGGTCCCACCCTGGAGCCAGGCCTGGGGTTGGGGCCCATGAGCGAGCGCCTGGTGGCCGGGCTTTCGCCCATGGGGTCTGGCCGGGCCCAGCCCGAACTGGATTCATAGGCTCATCCAACTGTGGACCCACCACCCGCAGGAGGAGCATGAAGGGTCCGGTGCAGTGTGGATCGGGTGGCAGACCGAGGTGGGAGCCTTGGCGGTCCGATCCCCGGACAAGGAAACTGGTTTTTGGGACATGGAACATCACCTCGCTGGCAGGGAAGGAGCAGGAGCTGTGGAGGAGGTTGAAAGGTACCGGCTAGATATAGTCGGACTCACCTCCACACATAGCATTGGCTCTGGAACCCAAGTCCTTGAGAGGGGGTGGACACTCTCCTTTGCTGGAGTTGCTCCGGGTGAGAGGCGGAGGGCTGGGGTTGGCTTTTGTTAGCCCCAAGACTTTCTGCCTTAGTGTTGGGGTTTACCCCGGGGATGAGAGGGTAGCTTTCCTGCGCCTTCGGGTCAGGGAACGGGTCCTCACTGTTGTTTGTGCTTATGGGCCAAATATCAGTTCAGAGTACCCACCCTTTTGGGAGTCCGTGGGACGAGTGCTAGATAGTGCTCCATCAGGGGACTCCATTGTCCTGCTGGGGGACTTCAATGCTCATGTGGGCAATGACAGCTTGACCTGGAGGTGTGTGATTGGGAGGAACAGCCCACCTGATCTGAAATTTTTGTTATTGGACTTCTGTGCAAGCCGCAGTTTGGCCATAACGAACACCATGTTCGAACATAAGGATGTCCATTGGTACACTTGGCACCAGGGCAGCCTAGGTCGCAGGTCGATGATAGACTTTGTAGTCGTATCATCGGACCTGCGGCGGTATGTTTTGGACACCCGAGTGAAGAGAGGAGCGGAGCTGTCAACTGATCACCACCTGGTGGTGAGTTGGATCAGATGGCAGGGGAAGATGCCGCGTAGACCAGGCAGACCCAAACGCATAGTGAGGGTC